TTTAAATTGCTGAAATTTTTGTAATGAATATATATCTTCATAAAGTACAGGGGTACAACCAACCTCAAGGAACCTCATTTAATTTTTGTTTACAATCCAAAAAATAAAAATCCCAATTCTCCATTTTTGTTTTCCAAAACAATACTTCATATCTTTTTTAAACATCACTTTTATATATATATATATATATATATATATATATATATATATATATATATATATATATATATATATATATCCACTATGCAATATATTGAATCATTAATACATTTATTGTACATATATATTAGATCTAGTGTAGATATTATATCAATAATATCCAACACAATCTTTTACATATTTGATCATTACATATAGTACAAAATGACTTTAGAGTTCTCTCCTCAAAATATAGTAAAATTATTCATTTTCTTTTTATCAAAAAACATTCTTTTCAAATAATTTCAAGTTCACTAAATATGACCTTATAAAATTAATGTACCAAAAACTTCCAATCTTGAGTAAAGTTGATAAACGATGATCAGTTGGCTGAACGTATGCTACACTCGATAAAATATACATATATAATAAATATGTATTAACATGGATGAATTTGAGTGAGAGTGGGATATATATCTAATGTAGGGTTTGAAATTAGACAATGAAATATATATAATTTGAGTGGGAACTAATCCCAAGTGGAAGTGGGACCCATAGGTAGGAGAAAATGCGTGGTGATGGAGGGAGCACTGCACGACCCCCTTTGTTGCCCCCATAGTTGTCTCTTTACTCGACCAATTCTAATTTGGACCAAACCAATTAACCAATTAACCAAACACCCCCTATTTCTCTCTCCTCTCTCCTCTCTCTTTCTATAAGAACCCCCTCAAACACTTCAATCTCACAATCAAAACAAATATCATTAACCAATTCACTCCCTCCTCTCCCTTCACACTTTCAAGAGCAAAAAAAAAAAAAAGAAAAAATCATTTTTTCATCCTCCTAGAAAAGAAAATGAAGATCAGTATCAATATCAGCAGCAGCGGCAGCAGCAACAAGAGATCGTCGAAGATTTCGAGCAGAGGGCTCGCAGGAGTCCTTAGGGAACAAAGGGCTCGCCTTTACATCATTAGGCGATGCGTAGTTATGCTTCTTTGCTACCATGATTAATTAAGAGATCGATCTACATACATACATTTTATTCGTAATGCGCCGGGGACACGTACGTACGTACACAGGGGGGGGGACTTGGTGGAGAGAGAGTTTTGCATAGTCATGGATGAACAATATATATGTTGCAAATCTCCACTTTGATCCGGCGACCGGAGAATCGGAGCCCGGCAACGTGCTCGCCGGAGCTCTCGTTTGGACGAGCATCGATCAATTCTCCGACGAGTCATAAGAGGCGATTTTCTTGATCTTGATTACTTATTTTTTCTTCTCTTTTGGCTTCTTTGGTGGAGGTGCAAAATTGGAGCTACGGAACAAGAAATTAGCCCGAAATTTGCACAAATTTTTTCTTGTATTACTTAATTGGCTCCATATATATATATGGTGGAGTTTTCGATATTGTGTAGATCATATTATGAACATATGATTATTATTATTATTATTTTTGAATCAATTCAAGATTTTAGCTTCTTGTTCAATTGCATAAATCCCTTTCCTTTTTTTTTTTTTTTCTTTTTTTGACTTTTTTATTAGTCAGTTCTTGAGATTATGATCAGTTGCAGTAATGAAATTTGCAGTCATAAAATCCAATCCCAAATATTTCAGGACTGATCAAATGTACATTACACACATCATGATTTTCTTTCTGCAAACATATATATATATATATATATATATATATATATATATATATATATATATATATATAATGTGTGTGTGTGTGTGTGTGGTCAAACATTGCAAGTTGTTTGTTCATCCTATCATTTTCAATCATTCTTAGGAAGAGTTGTTCACATTGAGGAGGGTGGTAACTAATTTTGATTTTATTTTCATGTAATATACTAAGATTTAATTAATTAAGAGGAATTATTTTAATTTCTTCAATTAATTTGAAATAAAGTCTGAGAAGAGGTCTATAGTTAGGTGGTGATAATTATCTATATTTGAATCATCATTTTTCCTACTTTTTATTGAATTTGTAGAATTCAACGGAATCAATTATTTTATTTATTTATTCAATTTTAACTTTGGGTGTACAGTTTTTACTGAAAGTTGGATCTCACTTTTTTATTAGATTATATTCTCTGGAGTAGGAAAATAAAATAAAGGTAATATAAAACTGATAATTCAGGTTATAGCCCTACGTGTTTGTTGTCAGATTATATATAAGCCACTGTGTGTGTATGAGAGACTGCACATTTTTCTTTGGACAAGAGCATCATCTCCAACAAAAAAATATGTAGTTATGTCAATAGCTAGTTATTATATTTAATATTTTTAACATAAAATATAAAATTTATAAAAATAATACTATATATATATATATATAAGATTAATTTATTGAATTTTAGTCACTTATTTTCTATTCCTATTCATTAAATAAATATTTTGAAAATATATCATATATTAAAAAAAATTCTATTATATAATATCCATGAAATATAAACAACAAATATTAAATAATTATTACAAGCATGTAGTTATTAGTTACTATAAACTCATTTTTTTTTGTTTTTTTGTTTTTGCTTTGGTACCTAATTCGGTGTTTTTAATTTGCGATTATGTTAGTTCGTAATTTTTTAAAATATCGTTCACGATGCGAGAAAATCCATAAGATATTATGATGCAGTTTGTCCTAATTATTAGAGCAAATTACGGCTAACCTCTGAGGTAATATCAAATTACGAAAAACCGTCTCATGTTTGGGTAATTAGAACTACCCCATTCAACTATATATTTTCTTACGAAAAAAACATCTTCTTTTGTTGATAAATTTAACAATTTAAGGGTGGTCGTAATTTGACCTTCCCTTAGAAGGTTGATCGTAATTTGCCGTAATTCTTATGTTGGATTATGTAGAGTCTTTTCAAAAAAGACAAACTTTTCTTTATGTTTACAAAATTCTTTAGACATGTTTTATATAACACCCTCTATCTATTTTTTTTTTAATCTCAAATACTTTTGATGATAATTCATAGTATTGCAATGATTAATCGGATCATAAGCAATCCAAAAAAGTTGGATTTTGTTGATAATTTCTCAAGATTAAGAGATATGTTAGTCCCATAAATCATTAAAGTGGTTGCAATTATGATTGCTAATCCATACGCCCTTTACAATTAGTCAAACGATTTTGCTAATACCCTTTTGGAACTGTTAACGGGCATATCTAAAAAGCGGACAAACAAAATCTCATAATCACGTAATTAAACTAAATAATCACGCTTAATATTCCTCGTCTTTTGGCCGCTTAAAGCAACAATGGCACGCTAAAGCACACCACTTTTTATGATTATTATACAAATACAATCACTTTTTATGATTATTATACAAATAAAATCGTCACTATGGTGCCTCTTTTAATTGTTTATTAGTGTTCCAAAAAACAAAAAAAAAAATCGTCACTATGGTGTGGTTTTTTATTTATTTAATTGTCTTCTTTAAATTGTTTAATAGTGTTCCAAATGATATTGTAGATACTACAATTGGTAAAATTTATTGATTAGTATATTAATAATGGTGTGTGAAAACAGTGGCAAAGCCAGAAATCGATCACTACTGGTGGGTCAAATATACATAAATAATTTTAAATAGAATATAATGTAAAAAAATTAAAGACTACAATGATTACTTTAAGAGTAGCGAACGTAGAATATTGCTACAGAAGACGAGAAAATAAAAGATTCGGACATTTGTTTGCATTAATTTGGATTTTGAGTGAACTAAAGATTAAAATTTGGGTGGATTTGATAAATATACAGGTGTAATATAGTGAAAAAAAAATTCAATTGAGGAAGTTTTGGTTCCATTCTTGACCAAGAGTAGACTCGCCCGTCATTTCAAGTCACAATTCGTACATTTCTTACCCAGTTTGTCATACTCTTTTCTTCAAATATAAATAATTAATTTTATTTTTTATGTAAAATTAATTGTTAACAATTATAGAAGCACAATACAAATGAACTAAATTATATATATATATTAGTAAAAAAAAAAAAATTTGATGGGGCCATCATACACTAGTTTCCCCATTATATGAAAATATGTACAGGTCTATACACGTTTATAGTAAAATTTAATTCGATAAGTTCATCCGGTGCGGTACTATAGAATAAATAAATTAAATTTGTTCAAGCATAAGAAGTTCCAATTATTAGCGTTAAAAACAATTTAAAGAGAAAGATAAGCTAGCTTGTCTTATTCATGGATAATGAAAAGGAAATGATATTTGTTTGATTTGCTTGTCGTTTACCAAACAGGCAATGAACAATGTTTAAACTATGGGCATTTTGAAAAAAATAATTAATAATGGTGTCCAACCAAGCAAATAAAAGCTCGTGAAATTTGAAAACTGTGATCTAAAATTGGCTTCATTTGTTGACTTTGGTCAAAATTAAACTCGTCTTGTGGCCCCACTCATTTTGTTCCTTGGCTCATTGCTTGGAGTTTTATCCA